GGGGCGGGGCGCGGGAGGCTCCTCCTCTCGCTGGCGCTTCTAGCGAGCCCGTCCCTTTACCTTGTGCGTCTGCTGGGCGCCAGGAATCGGCAGTGGGGCCGTATGGAAACAGAAACCCACTGTTAAGAAGCTGACATTCCGGGCAGGGAGGCTGGCAGGGAGGCTGGCAGTGCTTGGTCACGAGTGGACGGCCTGAGGACGGTGTGTGGTGCGTTCCAGGGCGTTCAGTGCCAAGGTGAAGAGTGAAGCCGGGGTAGGGGGTTGTGAGCTGCTGGGGTGAGAGGGTGCAGGCCTGAAAGGCTTCAGGTGAGGAGGTGGCATTGAGTAAGGATCTGAATGACGTAAGATGAAGTGAGAGGTGATCTGGGAAGATACCTGGGGGAAAGGCATTCCTTGCAGAGGGTGTAGCACGTGCAAAGGCCCTAGGGCAGGACTGTGTCTGGTATATGGGAGGAACAGCAAAGAGGCCTTTATGTCTGGACCAGAGTGATCAAGGGGGAAGAAAAGGAGGAGGGGAGGACAGGAGGGACAGGACCATTAGCGCTGTGTGCTACTGCAGGCCCATTAGCTCCCTGTCCTCGTGGCACTCAAAGGCCAACCTGAATCCAGGAATCTGACCACCTCCCAGGCCCATCACCTGCTGGTCCGAGCCTAGAGCCCCGCACAATGGGAGAGGAGGAGGAGGAGGGAGCAGGACAACGCCCTCTCCTCTCCCTACTGCTCTCTCTTTTGTCGAAAAAACGGGACCAAGTTCCCTGGCCTGGGAAGGGCCCTGCTCAGCAAGAGGAGTTCAGTGGGGCCACCTCCTCATTGGGTAGTCCTTTCAGGGCCTGAGAAGCTGCTGTCCAGAGATGGACTGGAAATGGGGTCCTTCCTCCTATCCCATCTCGCCCGACCCACCAGCTCCCATCTGCGCAAAGGTGGCAGCAGGGTGTGTCCAGCTATATCTTTAAAGGGACAGCTCGTGGGTCCTGGGCAACCTTGCGCTGCCGCTCCAGCCTCTCCCTTTCTCTGGCTGCTGCAGGTGAAGAAATCCGCGAAGAAGTTGCAACCGCAAAGCACAGAGCCCGCAAGGAGACCCAGCCAGAAGGAGAAGAGAGGGCGCTCTGAAGAGAAGCCTCGAGCCAGGTCAGTTCCTGCTCTGCCTCTCCTCCCACAGCCCCTGGGGGCTCTCCCGCCTGCCTGTCCTGGTCCCCATGATCCTGGGCACCCCTACCCCTTGCAGGAAGGTCCTGGCTTATTCTGGTTCTTGGGGCCCCATCAGGTTATGCAGGAGCCGCTGCCTTGGACTGCGGTCCTTCCTGGAGCATGCCTCTCACTCGGAGTGACCCTGCCCCCAGGGAACAGCAGGCAGTGTTGTCATGCTGGGGGGCTTCTGGCGTCCAGTAGGTGGGGGCCGGGGAGGCTACCCAACACCCCACCGTGCCCAGGATGCCCCCCACCCCGAGAATGACCCAGCACCCAGTGTTAGAACTACCTAGGGGAGAAAGTGTCCCCAGACCACTGGGGACTTTTTAAGTCCAAGGCCCACTGACGTTGGGGAACAGAGCCCATCTCCCTGCCCACCTTCTCCATGGAATCCCAGCTGGCAGTGAGCAAACCTGTGCACTGGGAACATGGCAGCCGGACCCCCGAGCAGGACAGAGTCGGAGGGGCGGTAACATGCGTGCTACCATTTCCCAGTGTCAAATTGGAGCGCCTTTCATTTATTTATTTATATTTTTCCAAATTGCTCCCCTGTCCCCTTTGGTAACCATAAGTTTGTTATGTCTCTGAATCTATTTCTGTTTTGCAAAGAAGTGTATTTGTATCATTTTTTTAGATTCTACATGAGTGATATCATATGATATTTGTCTTTCTCTGTCTGACTGATTTAGTATGATAATCTCTGGGTCTATCCATGTTGCTGCAAATGGCAATATTTCATTCTTTAAAAAATTTTTTTGGTGTATATAGTCCATTGTGTGTATATACACCACTTCTTCCTTATCCAGTCACCTGTTGATGGATATGTGGATTGCTTCCATGTCTAGGCTATTCTAAATAGTGTTGCTGTGATTCCATGTCTAGGCTATTCTAAATAGTGTTGCTGTGAACATTGGAGTGCGTGTATCTTTTCAAATTAGAGTTTTTGTCTTTTCGTGATATATGCCCAGGAGTGGGATTGCTGGATCATGTGATAACTCTGCTTTAGTTTTTTAAGGAACCTCCATGCTGTCCTCCATAGTGGCTGCACCAGTTTGCATTCCCACCAAGAGTATGTAGGAGGGCTCCCTTTTCTCCACACCCTCTCCAGCATTTATTATTTGTAGACTTTTTGATGATGGCTATTCTGACCAGTGTGAGGTGGTACCTCATTGTAGTTTTGATTTGCATTTCTCTGATAATTAGCAATATTGGCCACCTGTATGTCTTTTTGGAGAAATGTCAGTTTGGATCTTCTGCCCATTTTTTGACTGGGTTGTTTGGTTTTTTGATACTGAGCTGTATAAGCTGCTTGTATATTTTGGAAATTAAGCCCTTGTCAGTCACATTGTTTGCAGATATTTTCTTCCATTTCATAGGTTGTGTTTTCATTTTGTTAATGGTTTCCTTTGCTGTGCAAAAACTTTTGAGTTTAATTTGGTCCCATTTGTCTATTTTTGATTTTGTTTCCATTACTCTGGGAGATGTATTAAAAAAATATTGTTCAGATTTGTGTCAAAGAGTGTTCTGCCTGTGTTTTCCTTTAGGAATTTTATAGTATCTAGTCTTACATTTAGGTCTTTAATCCATTTTGAGTTTAGTTTTGTATAAGGTGTTAGAGAATGTTCTAATTTCATTCTTTTTACATGTAGCTGTCCAGTTTTCCCAGCACCATTTATTGAAGAGATTGTCTTTTTTCTGTTGTATATTCTTACCTCTTTTGTCGTAGATTAATTGACCATAAGTAGGTGGCTGGACTTTCCTGTTCCACTGAGCTATGTGTCTGACTTTGTGCCAGTACCATACTGTCTTGACGACTGTAGCTTTGTAGTATTAGTTTGAAGTCAGGAAGCGTGATTTCCCCCATCTCTGTTCTTTCTCAAAGTGGTTTTGGCTGTACAGGATCTTTTGTGTTTCTGTACAAATTAAAAACATTTTTTGTTCCAGTTCTGTGAAAAATGCCGTTTATAATTTTATAGGGATTGTATTGAATCTGTAGATTGCCTCGAGGAGTGTGACCATTTTAACAGTATTGATTCTTCCAGTCCAAGAACACAGTGTGTCTTTCTGTTTGTGTCGTCTTCAATTTCTTTTGTTAGTGTCTTAACAGTTCTCAGAGTATAGGTGTTTTACCTCCTTAGGGAGGTTTATTCCTGGATATTTTCTTGTTGATGCAATGGTAAATGGGATTGTTTCCTTCATTGCTCTTTCTGATATTTCATTATTAGTGTATAGAAATGCAACAGATTTCTGCATATTAATTTTGTGTCCTGCAACTTTTCCGAATTCATTGATGAGCTTGAGTAGATTTCTGGTGACGTCTTAGAATTTCCCATGTATAGTATCATGTCTGCAAACAGTAATAGTTCTACTTCTTCCTTTCCAATTTGGGTTCTTTTTATTTTTTTTCTTCCCTGATTGCTGTGGCTACTAGGACTTCCAAAACTCTGTTGAATAAAAGTGGTGAGAGTGGGCATCCTTGTCTTGTTCCTAATGTTAGAAGGAGTGCTTTCAGCTTTTCGCCATTTGCATGATGTGAGCTGTGGGTTTGTCATACGTGGCCTTTATCATGTTGGGGTACATTCCTTCTGTGCCCACTTTCTGGAGCGCTTTTATCGTAAATGAATGTTGAATTTTATCAGAAGCTTTTCTGCATCTATTGAGATGATCATACAGTTCTTTTCTTCAGTTTGCTAATGTGGTGTGTATCACACTGCTTGATTTGCAGATAATGAAAGAGCTTGCACCCCTGGAATAAATCCCGCTTGATCATGGTGTGTGATCTTTTAACATGTTGGAATCGGCTTGCTGGTATTTTGTTGAGGGTTTTTGCATTTATGCTCATCAGTGATAATGTCCTGTAATTTTCTTTTTTTGTGATATCTTTGGTTTTGGTATCAGGGTGATGGTGGCCTCATAGAACAAATTTGAAAGTGTTCCTTCCTCTGCGATTTTTTGGAATAATTTCATAAGGACAGGTGTTACCTCTTCTCTAAAATGTCTGACAGAATTCACCTGTGAAGCCGTCTGTCCTGGGCTTTTGTTTGTTGGGTTTTTAAATTACTGATTCAATTTCAGTACTCTTAATTGGTCTGTTCATGTTTCCTATTTCTTCCTTGTTCAGTCTTGGGAGATGGTGCCTTTCTAAGAATTTGTCGCTTTCTTTTAGGTTGTCCATTTTATTGGCATATAGTTGTTCATAGTGGAGTCCCTTTTAGGAATTCATGCACTGGGTTTTACACAACTGGCCACTGACCACTAGCCCCTGTTTTTTTGTTTTGTTTTGTTTTTGTAATTGAAGTGTATTTGATTTACAATATTGTGTTTCTGGTGTACAGCATAGTGATTCAATTATATACATTGTTTTTTATATTCTCTTTCATTGTTGTTTATTATAAGATACTGAATATAGTTGTCTGTGTTATACAGTAGGACCTTGTTTATTTTATATATTTTTCAGTTACATAATTAAACAAGGAATTCTGGGCTTTCGTGTTGTTTTGCTAGAAAGACCTAAAGGAAGGGTGAGGTCTTTGTCCCCTCGGGTGCAGCCCTAAATCAGGTCACGCCGGACCTTGAGCCCTCTCCTCCCAGATTCCTGGGCCTCCTGTAGATTTCCTTCCGCAGTGACCATGGGTCACCCCATGTGGGTCATCCCTTGGTGGGGAGGATGGAGGCTGTGGGGACATTGGTCAGGGGCTGTCTAAGGGCTCAACTCCCCACAGGCCCGTGAAGGTGGAACGGACCCGGAAGCGGTCGGAAGGGTTCCCGCCAGACCGGAAGGTTGAGAAGAAGAAAGGTGAGGGGCCGGCTGCCTAGTTGCAGCCCCCGTGGTCACTGAGAGGGGGGAGGGATGGCTGTGGAAGGGCTGGCTCCCGTCACTGGAGCGGTGCTGGGGCAGGTCCCCAACCAGCTCCTGGGAGGGGCTGCAGGAGCACCTCGGTGCAGCCTGGGGCTCCATGCTCAGGCCTGGGTGCCGCCTTCTCTCCTGAGCACAGAACCTTCTGTGGAGGAGAAGCTTCAGAAGCTGCACAGCGAGATCAAGTTCGCTCTGAAGGTTGACAATCCGGTGAGACCTTCCCCTGGGTGCAGAGGTCATGTCACGGTCCCCCTGGCCCCTCACTGCTAGCGCTTCCTTAGAAGTTTCAGGACACAGAGGCAAACCCAGGCTCCCACGGGGTGGGCAGCATGGGGTCCTTGTTCACGTGGGGGTCCCCCCTGCTGAGGACCTAGCTTGGCCTCCTGAGGTGCAGCGCTCTGCATCTCCACTAGGTGGTGCCGTGCAAAGTCCAAAGATCCCTCAAGTTCTGGGTCCTTCCCACTGTCCCTGGGGTCCCTGTCACTCAGCCCTCCCCTGCAGGGAGAGCCCCAGGGGGTCTTTCTCTGCCCTGTTGGGCCCCAAGGACCCTCTCAGCTAGGAGCTGTCCCTCATTGCCCTTGCCGCCCTGCAGGACGTGAAGAGGTGTCTGAACGCATTAGAGGAACTGGGGACCCTGCAGGTGACCTCACAGATCCTCCAGAAGAACACAGACGTGGTGGCCACACTGAAGAAGGTACGGCAAGAGCCCGGGGGGGAAGGGGCTGTTCAGGGGGGCAGAGGGCAGCTTGGGAGCCGGGTGCCCGGCCGCAGCAGCCATAGTCAGCGAGGAGGAAGCTATGCACAGGGGAGGGTCTGGGCGGGGGCTGAGGCTGGCTGCGCCTCCTGAGCCAGACCTCTTGGTGGCCAGATCCGCCGCTACAAGGCCAACAAGGAGGTGATGGAGAAGGCTGCGGAGGTCTACACCCGGCTCAAGTCTCGGGTCCTGGGACCAAAGATCGAGGCCATCCAGAAGGCAACCAGAACTGGGACGGAGAAGGAGAGGGCTGAGGTGGAGAAGGCCGAGGAGGCGCTAGCCGGAGAGGAGGCCCCCACGGAGAGGGCGGAGGACGAGGCGAGCACTGGTGAGGAGCTGGCGGGAGAGGGCTCAGCACATTCAGGGCCCTGAGAGCATCCTGGAGCTTCTATCCAACAGCCCAGGTGGCACGATCCTGTTGGCACTCTCTGCACAGGCTGGCTGTGTACATGAGGCATCAGCGCCTGGTACACACACCCCTAGGCCACTCAGAGGCTCCAGACCCTCAGTGCAGATAGCATGGGAGGCTGTCTGTGTGCAGCCAGGTGTGGAGCGTTACTGGGACAGACAATCGCAGAGGTCCGGGAGGGAAGGGCCACAGATGGGCTGGGAGGAGAAAGGGCATCTTTGTAGGGGACCCGAACCTTCCTTCCTGATGGGGTCACATGGTTGTGGTGAGAGATGCTTAGAGCAGCCCTTCAGACTGGCATCAAGATAGCTTAGCCAACACTGCCTGGGGGAAAGCGTGGAGGGGGAGCCTTTCCTCATCTCTGGGCTGTGGCAGGCTTTTTCCCAGTGTTGCCCACCGCCCCTCCCTCCTCTAGGCTGTGTGGTCAGGGCTGGGGCTGGCTAGAGGAAGGACCTGCACACAGCCAGCTGTCCCCATGTGTCCAGAGGCTCAGGGGTGGAAGTGAATGCAGTCATGCAGGCAGATCCAGAGTCCTCCAGGACCCCTGCCCCAGACCGACTCGCCTCCTGCTCGTTCTCTATGGGCACCGTTTAAGGGGTCCCCGACAACAGCCCCACAGTGTCCCATGAGGCTCTCTCCCCCCAGATCTCTCAGCCCCTGTGAACGGTGAGGCCACGTCCCAGAAGGGGGAAAGCACGGAGGACAAGGAGCAGGAGGAAGAACAGAACTCAGAGGAGGGGCCCGGGGGCGGCTCCTCCGAGGACCTGTTACACAATGAGTAAGTGTCACTGGGACTGCGGGGCGACTTTCTGAGAGAAGGCACCCTGATGTCTGGGCTGCTCCCAGTGGGGTAAGGGCCACAGGGACTTCTGCTCCCACATGCTGGCCACCCACCGTCACCTTTGCGGCTGCCCCCTAGACCCCTAATGAGGGAACCCTGGCCATGCGGAGCGTCCAGGGCCAGCCTGTGCGTGGCGGGGCTGCAGGCCTGGCTGGGGGAGCGTCGGTCTCTGTAGGTGACAGGAGGGGGACAGGCAGGAAAGGGGCCTGCTCACCCAACCTGTGCCGTCCACCAGCAGTGTGCGGGAGGGCCCGGACCTGGACGGGCCCGGGAAGGAGCGGCAGGAGCGAGAGAGGGTGCGGATGGACTCGGAGTCCCTGGACGACGAGGACAGCTGAGCCCGGCAGCCTGCGGCCAGGCCCCGCTGCCACATGCGGATGGTCCGAGGCCAGCCTGGCTCCTTCCCGGCGCCCGGGTAGCAGAGAACTGTTGGGGAGACACTGTGCTGTTCGTTTGTATTTGTCCCCCTGGGTTTTTTTCTGCCTAATTTCTGTGATTTCCAACCAACATGAAATGATTATAAAGGGTTTTTTTAATGAAAAAAAAAAGTCACTTTTATTGGCTTGGTTTTCTAGTGGTGTTACTGGTACAGCTGGGCCAGAGCTGGGGAGCGGCTTGCAGCAGTCAAGGGCCTGTCGCGGGACAGAGGGTTTTAAGCCATAGGGTCACCATTAACAGTGCTTGTGAACTTGGTTCTGATGCTGCTCCCAGCCCTACAGGGCTGGCAGTCAGTAGGGGTGGAGCAAGGCCTTTCCGAAAGTACAGGAGGAGGAATACAAACCTCTCGACTTTGGAGCTCGGAAGGAGGCTGTGGTTTGATGTTACTGTGTCTGTGGCCTGGTGCTTGGGTGGGAGCAGCCGCTGCCTCACTCCCTCAACTGACCGTTTCCTGTTCCCGCTCAGGCTGTGGTGGCTCTGGGGCCCACGGGGCAAGACCCAGAGCTCTGGCAGCACCGGCCCCAGGCCTCAGGCCAGGATATGTGTGCAGACTGTCCACTGTGCTTAACAGAGGGCGTGGGTGCTGGGGTCAAGCCTTGCTGTGTGACATGGGGCAAGTGGCAATCCCACTTGGGGCTTCTCTTGCCTCACCTGTCACCTGGATTCAGATGGCAGACATGTATGCGGCTCTCAGCCACGGCAGCTGCTGGTTAAACTGTGGCCTCTGCTGTGTGTCCTCTGCCCTGCCCGTGGCTGAGCCCCTTCATCCCAACTGAGAGGCCATGGTGTGATTAGACTTGAGGTTGTCACTGAGCTCAGTTTCTGGGAATGACTGTTTCCAGTGTCACCACCTCTGATGACTACGTGATGGAAACCAAGGAAGGAAGGACTGGGTGCAGGTCACAGCCAGAAGTGCAGGGCCCCTCAGGGCTCCTGGCAGCCATGGTGACCCTTTGAGGGGAGCTGGCGCATCCATCCGGGAGCTCAGAGCACCCCGTCATTTCTGAGAGGAGGGTACGCTTCAAGCCCTCCATCAGGGAGACAGCCAGGGGTTTGCTGGCATGATACAGGTTCTAGGAAATAGGGGCTTTTAACAAGGGTCAGGCTGCTGGTGTTCTGCCCCAGGGGAGCAGAAACAGGGCAAGGGGTGGGGGAAGGACCTCTGTGGCTCCAGCTTCCCACATGCGGCGCCCATCACAGGGCTGCCCTGAGGCTCCAGGGAGAGCAGGGCCAGGAAGGAAGGGGCCGTGGACCCACGGCTGCCATCCCAGCCCGTCTGTGGGCTGGAGCACGTGACCAACACCTGAGTGCGTGTCAAGCACATTTTGTCGCGTGCCCCCTAGGGTCCTGTCCCTTGTCAGGGAGCCCTTTTATTCCTTCATCGGCAGCCTCTGTGCCCAGGCACCTTGGGGACCCAAGAACATCAGCTCTGGGGTCGTTATGCTCAACCGCGACCATGTGGATGGGCCAGCAGGCGAGTGGGCCGAGGCAGGAAGGGACGTGTGCTCATCCCCTGCCTGCAAAGGCCAGTCCTCGCCGGTGGTGGCTGCTGCAGCTTGGTCTTCCTGAAGCCCCTTGGCCCCTCCAGGGGTCAGCAGAGGCGGTGGGAGCCTGCCTGCCTCAGGACGATGGTGGCGTTCTGGTACTGGGGGTGTAGGCTGTCTGCTGAGGGGTGTGTGCTTTGAGAGCGAGGGTGGAGCTGCCTGGAGCCCAGGGCGGAGGAGCAGAGCCACCTGCTAAGCTGGCAGCTAAAGGGCCCAGACTTGGGTAGACGACCCTCCCTAGACGTGAAGGATAAAAGGGTCGGACTGCAGGTGCTGAGTGGAGAGCCTTCGAGACTTAGGCACGACTCCAGTTCTCGTTCCTAATTGGAGCACTTGCTCGAGATACTCAGGCGAAGGCCCCTGTCTAGGGTCTTAGCAGCCCGAGGCCGCTCGGCCGGGAGAAGGTCCAGCCATGCTCGGGGAGAAAGGTGGACAGTGTGGGCAGGGCGGGAGCCGGGTGGGTGGTGTGGCAGCTCGGTGCCTCCATTGGTGCCAGCCTGCAGGGGCCAGAGCTCTGGGGGTTGGAGCTGGTTTTGGGCCAGGGAGAAGGCTCGGCAGAGGGCTCCCCGGGCAGAGGAGGGGCTCCTACAGCTGCTGCCCCTCGGGCTGCAGGGCAAAGGGCCCCACCAGCCAGCTGAGCGGAGGGCTGTGCTGCACGCCCTCCAGCAGCCGCTCCAGCCGCTGCCACGCCTGGACTACAGCCCGGCGGCTCTGAGCCAGGCGCTCGGCCGGCAGCTCTGCACCGCAGTCAGCAGAGGAGACGACGCTGTAGAGCTCGCAGAGGCTGCGCCGTGCCTGGCCAACCTGCTGCTGGAGCTCGGCAGGAAGGCCCTGGAGGCCGGAGGCCAGGGCGCTGTAGGCCACGTGGAGCTGCTGAATGAGGCCGCAGGCCTTGGACAGAGCCCCGGCGTCTGGCACCTGTGGGCAGAGGAGCGAGGTGAGCGGGGGCTGAGGGGGTCGGGGGGCGGGAGCGCAGGCTCCTGGCAGCACCTCTTGGGCATCGGCTTCCTCTGCTCCGCTGCTCTGATCCTGGTCCTGCCTGACTGGAGCCTGCTGGGCTTTCTCAGTCTGGAAGGAGAGCCCAGCAGAGACATGATGGATTCTCGGCAGGGACCTTTCCCACACCCCCCACCAGGGGCAGCATTCCCAGGCCTGGCTGGCCCTGGAGCCTCGTGTTCACCTTTCCCATGGCATGGCGGAAAGGCCTCCAGTTCAGAGCCAGCCGCAGCAGGATGGTGCATCTAGAGGCAGTTATCCAGATTCCTCATGAGGTACTTGGGGGCTCAGACAGTCAGTGTCACCATGACACACCCCAGCTCCAAAACGCTCTCACATCTCCCAGTGGCCTTTGGACCAAATCCGCCTCCTCACCATGGCCTGCACGGTCTGCCTGGGACACCTCTGACTCCATCTCCGGCTGACACCCCGTCATGCACTCTGCTTGGGCCACGCTGGCCTCCTTTTGTCCCCTAACCATGTCCTGCATGCTGTCCCACGTCCTGCCTCAGGGCCTTTGCACTCAGCCTGGCGAAGGCTTCCTCTGGCCTGGTGTGGTGGCCCCCAGTCCTTCCCTGTCAAATCTCTGTTACTCTCCCCAGAGGTACATCACTGTCTAGTTACCATGTTTCTTTGTTGTTTATCTCCCCCCTTCAGTGGGGGCTCAGTCGGACCTTTTCCTCCTGGATTTTTGGGTCCCTGGTACATTCGGAGTCCCCTATCCCCCACCATCCATTGGCTAATCTTCCTTGTCCTCCTAAGAGCTGGTGAGGGGCAGCATGTGGACCAAATGTTGGCCCCAACTTTTGATCACCCATCCAGCTGTTATCCCAGCAGCTGACTCCATCGGGGGGCCTGCTAGTCATCTCCAGCTTACGTTGTCTAAGGCCAGGCTCTTAATGTTCACCCGACCCACCCGGCATCTCCAAGTGTCTGCTGCTAGAAGTCTCCAAGGCTTCGTAGGGTCTCTTTCTCACTTCCCACATCTAACCTGGCTGCAGACCCTGACAGTTATGCTTCTGAAACACATCCAGAACCCACCTGCCTCGCCACCACTGCTGCTCTCAAGGTCCTGTCGGCACTTGCCAAGATTTTTGCAGAAACCTTCTCATCTCCCAGCTCCAGCCCTTGACCCCCTGTGGCCTGTCCTCCCCACAGTAGCCAGAGTGCTTTCCTTAAATACAACCTCCGGTGGATGAGGCCATGCCTCCGCTCACAGTCCTGGAGCGGCCTCCCTGGCCCCACCCACTGGCTGCCAGGAGCACCACCAGTGTGACAACCCCAGATGTCCCCAGGCATGGCCTAGTGTCCTCTGGGGACAGGACTGTCCCCTTTGAGATCTTCTGGGTTGGAGCAGTGGTTTTCAAATTGGGGTTCAGTTGACTGGGAACGCAGGTGCCTGAGCGTACCCCAGGGATCCTGACTCAGGCAGCATTGCTGGGTTCCTCACCACCTGTGTCGGTGAGGCTGTTCAACATTTAAGAGCCATGACCTTGAGAACTTGGAGAGTCTCAGAGCTGGGGGCCTATCACTGTCTGCATCCGCTGTGGATGGGATGCTGCTAAACTTCCTACCACGCACAGGTCCACCCGCACCACCCACAGGGAGCTGGCGCAAGTGTCAGCAGGGCTGCAGCAGAGAAAGCCTGGGTCAGAGGAAGCGAGTGGAGACAGCGAGAGAGCGTGACCTTGCTGGCCCAGTGCCTATCCCCGGGATGGCATTCAAGTCACCTTTGGGTCCTTTTTTGCATCACTGAACCCCACCCAGATCACATGGGCTCCTCCTACCCTGTCCCCCACTTCACTGCACCTTCCAGCCCCCGGCGCCCTGCTGCTCCTTGGAACACATTAGCTGGTTCTCAGACCACTGTCTGTCCTTGGGGCCCCCACTTCCCCATGACTCCACACCATGTGGCTCAAAGGGACACGCTCCTGCCCAGCCCACCCCCTGCGCGGCTGCCCTGCCTCCTGCTTGGCACCCTCATCGGCTGCAAGGATCTGGCCTCGTGCTCATCGTGCTCCCCAGACACGAGCCCTGAGAGAGCCATCTTAGTGGCCGACAGGCATGTCTACTAGGTGCTTAGTGTTTGTCGAGTCCCCGCACTGAGGAAGGCACCAGGGGAAGGGGAGGGCTCTTACCACCTTGACAAAGGCATCCTCGAGCTGGGCCAGCACGGCCCTGGCCTGGAACTGGCCATGCTGCAGTTGGCTCAGGGCGTGCTCGAAAGCCCGCTGTCGGAAGCCGGGGGCCAAGTCACCCAGACGCACAAAGTAGCTTCCTTGGTCGGCCGTGAGCACTCTTGGCCTGGGTTGGGAGACAGCCAGCCGAGCTAGAAGGGAAGACAGTGGGGGTCATTCAACCCAAGAGGCCCCTTTGTCATCAGGGGTGTGGGTTGTACAAATGACCTGCCCCTGCTGGGAACTGGGACCAGCCTGTCCTATTCTCACCTTGTTCCTCAGCACTCATGGGCTGGAAGATCTCCCCCAGCTCCTCCAACTCATTCCGGAGTGTCACAAAGCTCTGGGCCCCTTCGTGGCCATGTGTGGTGGCCCCATGTCCCACATCCTCCTTGCCCGGTACGGCCTCTTGTGTGAATGTCATCACAGCTGACACGAGGTCCTCTGTGCTGGCGGTGGCTTTGCCCTTAAGATCCAGGCCTTCACAGAGACTGTGCGGGGATGTGGAGACCCAGCAGGACTGAGCCTCATGAGGGCTTTGAATGGTTTGTTCCCCTCCTTCATCCGAGGTCCTGGAACTGGCGAGTCTTCTTGAGGTGGCATCCTGGGACCCAGGCAGCCAATGCTGGATGGTGCTGAGACCAGTTTGCACAGCTCCTTGGGCCACATCCCCTGCCCTGCGGAGCCCACTGGTCACAGCATCTTTAGAGTCCACAGAGACGGCCTTCCAGGTGTCCAGGCCCCCCTGGGCGGCCACTTGGGCCACATTCACGGCATTAGTCATGCCACTATAGACGGTGTCCCTTGTGTCTGTTGCAGCGTTCTGGGTTGTATTCAGCCCAGTTTGCACAGCCCCTTTGGCCACACCCACTGCCCCAGTGAGCCCAGTGGACACTGCATCTTTGGTGCCAGTCAAGACAGTCTTGGTGGTGTCCATGCCAGTC